AAATATGATTTTCCAATGTTTTTAGAATTAGACCAAAACCATAAAAGCTGTGTATGTATATAGAAGAGACAATTATTTTCAATAACTCAAGGATCTTTTATATCTTTTCATACAGGTAGAAGCTTGCACAGTTTAATTCATTAACCTTAAGCTTTCATTTAAATCAAAGAATATAGGGATCAGTTGGCTAAGAGAAGAAAATTACAGGGTTTTGAATGACTTATTTTCTAATTTGTCAATTTTTAAAAATTATTTTTAAGCTCTTACATTTTTAATTACATCATAGAAAGTCAGAAACCTTGAATTTCTGAATTTGAAGTTGTCAGTAGACGTATAGACATATCAGTCATGCAGTTTTGTTATTTTTGAAGAAAAGGCTTACTTGCAGAGAAGCTTTATACCAGTAAATATTTGTACACATAAGTAATTTTTCTGGCTGTGCATACAGACCAGGTAGGAAGAACAGTATATGCAAGTACATGTTAGTAGGCAAATTTCCATAGTTTCTGGAACCCAGATCGAGAGCATGTTCCTGATATTAATAGCTGGAATTTTAGCAACATTATGGTTATATCCTTTTCTTCTTGAGATCTGTTTAGCTTTCCAAGCAGGAAGACATTTTTGGACATTATAACACTAAGAGGCAATCTTATTAGTCTCTGAATAGAAAGAACTTTGGGATGTTGGAACATTGATACGTTCAGCATCACAGTGGTGAGCAAGCTCCAGTTGTCTTACAAACTTCTGTGGCCTGTAATTCTATTGTGTATTACAGTACATAGGTATGTTTCTAGTTATATTCTTGGTTTCTGAAATACTGTTTGATTGGCTTGTTTATGTGAAATCAATTTCTGCTCTGCCTTTTTCTTGCTCCTGATTGCACTGTAAATTTCATAGTATGTGATACTAATTTCATACTTCTAGAATCTAATACAATAAAACTAAATTGCATATCAGTCTATCAGAGAACAGCATTCATAAAATATTGAGTAGATCTAGGGAAATCTTGGCATAAGAATTTATTAGATTATGTTTTCAGGTTTAATGGGTAAGCATTTTCTGCCTAAAAGAAGTATTTCATGGTCTCTTTTGTGATATTTTCATGTCTTACGTGGTTCTAAATAATACTCATTTACAAAGTAAGAAGTGAAGACATTTTAGCTTTGGCCAGCTCTGACCCAGACTTATGTATTATCGAAGCTCTAATTACAGTCTTATTTCTTTATTCTTTGGCTAATGAACCCATGTCTCATTTTTGGTAATGGGTTACTTTGACTGTGAAAATTACTTTTCTTCCTGGGAGAATGTTTGTGTTTTAATACATTTGGAGGAAAAAAGTAAAAGAAATAGCTGCGTCCCTGTTACTTTCACTACTTCATCTAGATGTTGCATGTCTTTTTGTTATTAAAATTAGTAGGATCAGCTGATAACAGCCTGTTCAGTAACCTTGGGTTAAGAGATATAAAAATATCTTGTCTCTACCTTGGCACAGAGCTGTTATTACCTTGTCCAATAGGCTTCATGTTAGCTCCCTGACAGATAGGGATTAGTCCCCAAGCTTTTCAGGGCTCGGTTACCTGTTTTGCTCACTTCTGTCATTTGCTACTGCTTTAAACAATAACTTTGCATCTCTTATTCGCCAGTATTATGCTGATGTTTTTAAGGTTAGGCTTCTTTGTTGTCTATTTCAGCGACATTATGAAGACTTACAAAGATAGATATGGCAATGGTCTGATATAATTTTGATGGATTATTGCGACAGAATTAACATGACTTGATCCTTGCTTTCTAGAAAAGGTTAATTTCATTTTATTCTTTTAACCTTTTTCTTTGCTGTCACGTTTAACAAAGATTAAAAGGTAAAAGTAATAAATACACAACTACTCTTATTTTTCCTTATGTTGTAAAGAAATCAATTGTTACTAACAATTATGTATTCTGTGACCCTCTATAGAGCAGAGGCTAATGAGGCCGTATAAAGTGAGTCTTCTGTCTCTACAAGTTGATTTAAATGGGGTTGATATATAGAAACGGTAAGAGAAATTAAACTGAAATTAGATTGACTTACGCAAGTTATAGAAGGCAGACAAAAAAAAATTTAAATTCAATGTTTTAGCTATATTTAAATTTTTTCTTCTCCAAACTGGATGTGTCATTACCTCATTCTTTTAGATGTTAGATGATTTTAATATTTAAAAAAAAACCAAACAAAAAGAAATGAGGCAATCAAAGCTACATGGTTTGCCTTTTTTTTTTTTCTGTTTAATGGAAATAGCTAAAGACTGTGCAGGTTTTCTTTTCACTTTAGGAGAAAGTGAACAGTGTTTCATTTAGACTCCCAAGATGTCACTAAGAACAAGACTGGAGTCACTCAAGCCACTTGAAGAAACTTTAACCCTTAGAGCTGGCACTATGTGGAAGGATTAAAGGATATAGTTATAAAGGCCACACAGGCAAATACTTTTGTCCTTTGCTCCTGGCATCGAGTGACTGACTGCATCAAAAATTTCTTCTCAAACACTGCATTTCTAGCACTTTTTATTTGTTAAGATAAGCTTGTAAGTATATACTGGCACCCGTACTGGAGCTGGGGCAGAAACTACAATTTGCTTTCTTCACAGCTGCACCAATTTTGTTTGAAGACAGAGAATGGCCAACATCCTGCATCCTGAGATTTAAGTACACAAGGAAGCTGAGTGATGCACATGCAGATATGTCTGTGTGCACATAGTACAAATTTTACCCTG